ACGGGAGAAGCAGACGCACACAGGAGAAACGGACGCACAAAAACACAAGTGAAGGACACAAGAATCCACACGGCCACAACTGACGCACAAACGCACACAGGCAAAAAAGACACACAAATATACACCACCACAACTGACGCACAAACACACAGCAACAACTGATGCAAACAGACGAAAAGGACACACGAATACACACACAGCCAAAACTGACTCGCACACACAGGTGAAACAGATGTAAAATTTCACACAACCACTGCACAGAAGCACACAGAACAAACAGACGCACAAAAACACAAGCGAAAGAGACGCAAGAATACACACAGCCACAAGTGTCGCATATGCGCACACAGCCAAAAAAAGACACAAATACACACAACCACAGCCGCCGCACACATGCATACAGCTGAAAATTGACCCAAAAACGCATACAGCTATAACCGACGAACACATTAAAACCCAGCATACAAATTCACACAGGCAAAAAGACGCACAAACTCACACAGCCAAAATCCAACACATAAACGCACACAGGTGAGACACACACACACACACATACACATGCACACACTCACACACACACACACATAGAGAAGGGAATGGAATGTTCTGTCTGTGTCCAGTGTTTTAGCAGCTGTAAGTGGAGTCGCAGGAGAAGTAACTGTCCCTCTGGTAAATTTAGAATCCACTCCAATGCGTCTGTGTGTCTTCACTAAACACACGCGCACACACACACACACGCGCACAGGCCACCCCCAATGCAACACCGGTAACACTATACTAAACCATATTACACTGGAGTGATTCTCAGAGGCACTTGTTTTGATACGTGGGGAAGGTTAAGACGAAAGTGAAAAATTGTTTGTAAATGTACTTTTGCTTTGACATAGTTATTCTCGGATCGCAAAGCACAAAACATTGTGTACTTTCTTTTTTAACCACCGCTCACCACCAACTTCTCCTTTCGACTGACTAACCAAACTTGTCTTTTGTTTTTGCCTGACAAAACAAACTTGTACTGAGGCTGTCAAAAAAAGAAACATTTCCAAAATTACCCTCTCTGTAACCAGTTTGATGTGTGATCTTTAGATTCTAAACTGTGATCATTTAGACCGAGAAATATGTATTCCATCTACCATTTTTTACAACTAGGATGAATAAAGTTATAGGCTTGAAGATATTATTTTCAAATTACTCGTGAAATCTTCACTGTTAAACTTTTATTGGGGTTCTCTTCTACTGCATGGAATGAAACTTACAGTACTTGTTAGATTATCCAGTGAATGTATATGTATATAAACCGCACCCAGGTACATTTTTCCCACATATAGGCTGCACTTGAATTTAAGCCGCAGGTTGTCCCATTGTAATGTATCACTCATTCAATCTAAACATGCTTACCTTCACTACTTGTACTTGATGGGTTTTGCATTTCCTGCATTCAAACGGATATATTCTCTGATCTGTTTGTGGATCAACAATCAACAAGTTTTGCAAAGGCCCACCAAAATAATACAACATTGAATTGAGTCACATTGAACCTAAAAAGAAGAAACGATAGCGAGAATGTTCTCACAATGGATTTAACTTGACAAACCACCTACAAAAAATACAAAAAGAACACATTGTTTTACAGATTCTGGAGGATGTGACCCTTCCACCCTTTCATTGTTGACACTTTCCTCAGATTATAGCTGCTTTTACATGACCGATAACATCTGCTTACTTTTGGCAAGGACTCACTCAAAACTGGTGTGAAGTTTTGGCCACATCCAATCTGGTGGTACATATGTGGGTTTAGGAGGCGGGGCTAAAAAATCCCGTTTACCTGTGCCCCTGTGCGCTCTCCTTAAACCGGTTACTGCTCTGTTGGAAGCAAGAGTGGCTCTGCTCCACATTATTCAGACCAATCACGCCGGAGTGAGGCTGCGTTGTATCTGGGTGATGAAATACTCCTGCAACACCGGGCTGCCTCTGCACTGCCTGGCTACCTCTCCAACTCGACCAATCACAGCCCAACTTACCCCGCTCAGTCCAATCCGAGCTCACCGACATAATCATCTTAAACCAATGACGGGGCGAGTTTTTGAAAGTGACCTTTGGCTATAGGGAGGATGTTTTCTGAATGTATTTGAGGTTGTCTCTCGACCGTGGCATGTCCTTGTCATAATTTAGGGCAGAGGAAAGCGGCGAATTCCTTTTCTGACAGTGATAAATGGCTCCCACATGTTGGTGATGGACATAGAGCCTGTGTTGTTAAGAGCAGTGGCTGCAGCTGGCCAGTGCCTGCGTACAGAGCACAGCTGGGGCCTTTCCCACGAACTTTGTCCACAAGTTTCTTCCCATGGTTCCAGACTGTAACATAACCTGGACACCAATCAGTTTATGACATGGGTTTTGTAAAACTGTTATAACTACTTTTTCAGTTGAGTTTTTTTTTTTACAAAACGGTTACCAACACAGAATCAAACAGAAATGATTTTCAATTATCATTATTACAGTAGCTATTACAGCTTAGTTTAGGAACGTTCATCTTGTCTTCTTAGTAGAAACTAATAACATTGCTGACCTACTCAAATTAGATGGCCAATGTCCATAAATGTTGATAAAGTTGATATAGTGTTGAACGTCGTTGTGTTATCTCGTCCGTAAATTTGGACTGCGTTTTTCAACTTCAGATAAGATGCTTTAAATAGAGTGCACTCGACTGACGGCATGAAGATTGTGGGTTTGATTCCTGGGCTACATTCCTGCATGGAGTTTGTTTGCATGTTTTACTCCGTGTCAAAGTGGCTTATCTCTGGGTGCTCCGGCTTTCCCAATCACATACACTTAGATTAAAACAATCGCCTCAAAAAGAAATAATAAAACAAACGTGTTCAGCTGTAGATGGTGCTGCCAAATGGTTGCAGCTAGCACCAGTGAAGTATGGGTTGAAGGAAAATAACAAATGAAGTATGAGGAAAACTAAAGTACATTTTAAAGTAACTTGGAACAACAATATCAAACATGTACAGTAGGCCTGCTTTTTAGGCTCACATGGTCAAACGTCAACGAGATATGATCTAATCAGAATGTTTTCAGTTTCTCTCGGTGGGACAATCATTCTTTACCTTCATTTGCCTAATCTTACCTTACTTACAACATCACTATTTTGTCACTAACTTGCTTTTTCATTATGCTAAAGTTAGAGATTTGATTGTATGTATAGAGTTTCTGTTCACTCTCTACTGCCCTGACATCTTAATCTAGTAATGTTTTAGCACTGCTATGCCGTTGGCTTTAGAGTAGTCTTTTTTTGTAAAGTGTAGTAGCTGTAAATCAGGAGTTATGAATCAGAGCTCTCTCCGCTCTGAGCAGTTTTATTAATGGACATGTGAAAACCTGGGAGCAGCTGCAGTATGTAGTAAACATCATATTATATTATATATGTGAGCATCCATTCATAGAACAGATATACACAGGACAAATGTGATACAAGTTTAGGTATTGAAACTTCTCTGCCACCTTTTCTCGGTTTGTGAGTTCATTTCATTTCAATACATACAATACAAACAAATAACATTTACACATATAACACACAGGACAGGTTTGCTCCCTCAGACCCCACTCCACCCACTCCAAAACCCTACATTGAGAAAACATGTAGATAATTTTTGTATACTATAGTCAGATACTGTCCATACACACAGCAGCTGGTAGAATACTATAACTTAAAATGTACATAAAGGTATTAGCAAAAACATAAACTACTAGTAACATGAGCAGGGTATTTAGATTCCCAAGGAGGTTGTGGATCTTCTGTATGTGGATAACTCACTTCAATCAGATGGAGCCTTGTATGAAAATTCTGGATTCTTGGAACAGAAAAGGTGAGGCAGTCAGTGTTTGTAAGTGAATAGGATGGAGGAGGGTGAATTAGGGACAAAAAACTGGTACATTGTAAAATGAACTGCATCCAGTGAAAATGAAAATGTAATTGAAAAGTTTGATGTTCTCACTTTTGTTTGTTGTTGATTACAGAATTGGAACTGGACTAATAAAAGACGGCAGAGAAATCATTTGTATTCTCGCTAGATCTCAATTACAGTTTTGGCTTCTATGTCTGCTTTCCTTTGCCAAAACTTGCCTGTTATTGAACAACCTGATGCCAACTCCTGTTTACATTTCCTGGCAGCTGGAAAGAATTACCGTATGCATGTTTGGGTGTTTTAGCATTACGTCATGTCTTTGGAGATGCAAGCTAATGGTAAACATTGGTCCCTGAGGTGTATCCCACTCTCACCTTACCTCACTTCTTCCGAGTCACCCACCTTCGGGAAATTCATATGTGCACACCCATTCATAAACAGACGCTGCGCTTTTTATACAGGGAATGCAAAGTAATGGTGAGAGAATGCGCTGCAAATGGCTTTTCTCCTCTGCAAACAGAAAATATCTTACCGTTACAATCTAGTAATTTCACAGTGATGCTTTTGACCAAGAAAAATAAACAATATCACATTTCCATGCAAAGTACAGAAGTTGGGGCCTCACTTCTTGGAAAACAATATTGTGATTCCCACCAGAAATGTTGGCCCTCGTCCTCTCAGCTCCAGAAATGTGTTCCTTTTTAGTGAGTTAAAATATACTGAGAAAGAAAATCAGCAGCGACGAGATGTGAGTGCTTGTTGTGGAGGGCAGTTAGCTTGTTTATTTGAGGAGATGTAACATAGGCTTGAGTCCCTCCGGGTACATAAGAGCTACATGTTTGTGAAGCAACACAAAGGGAGGAAGACTGAGCAGGGAGGGAAAATGAAAGAATGAAGAAATCAACAAAAACTAAACTTTGTCATAGATCTCCATAGTGATTTCTTATTTACATTGGATGGATGTTCAGCATTATCAAAGATTGAATTAATCCACTTTTCATTTCTAGAATACTGCTTGCTCAATGTTGAAGTTTATCTATAGAAGAAGACATACTGAACATAAGTCTTTATTTCTCTAATTTTGTGTTTCAGAATTCCATCCGGCACAACTTGTCGCTGCACAGCCGCTTCATCCGGGTGCAGAATGAAGGCACAGGGAAAAGCTCCTGGTGGATGATTAACCCTGAAGGCGGCAAAGGAGGGAAGGCTCCCCGCCGTAGAGCCGTGTCTATGGACAACAGCAATAAATACACCAAGTCTGCTCGAGGCCGCGCCGCCAAGAAGAAGGCCGCCCTCCAGGCCGCGGCTGCAGCAGGAGAGGGTGGAGACAGCCCCTCAGGCCTGTCCCGCTGGCCGGGCAGTCCCACATCCCGCAGCACGGAGGACCTGGACGCCTGGACAGATTTTCGCTCTCGTACAAACTCAAACGCCAGTTCTATCAACAGTGGCCGCCTGACGCCGATCCTGGCCAACCCTGAGCTCGACCAGGTCCCTGACGATGAGCCCCCTCTCTCACCTATGCTCTACAGTCCAGGCAGGGCACTGTCTCCCAGCAACAGCACAGCCAATGGGAAGGCGGCCCCAACAGAGCTGCCCCGCCTCGCAGACCTCACAGGTACCATGAATCTGAACGATGGACTTACGGACGACTTGATGGATGAGCTTTTAGAAAACATCAACCTGGTGCCAACCACTACGGGAAAGCCCACAAACGGGTCTTCAGGATTCTTTGGATCCAAACCAAACGGACTCGTCTCCTCCTCCTCAACCTCGTCCCCTGCGAATCCGTCCACTAACGGGAGCAATGGTTTCAGTAACTCCATCTTTGGGCCTCCGTCCACAGGGTCCACTTTGCGGCTCTCTCCCATGCAGACCATCCAAGAGAACAAGCAGACGTCCTTCTCCATCACCTCTCACTTTGGCAGCCAGACTTTACAGGACTTGTTGAACTCTGACAGCCACAGCCCCAGTGATGTGATGATGACGCAGTCTGACCCGCTCATGTCCCAGGCCAGCGCTGCAGCTGTAATGTCCCGCAGAGGCCTTATCCTCCGGAACGACCCTGTCATGACCTTTGGAACCACTGGAGTTCAGAACGTCCAGGGGCAAAGTAACAATCAGAACGCACTCCGGCCCCTGAACGGACTTATGCTGAACAATGAAGCCAACATGCTAGCAAACGCCAAGCAGCTCTTAAACTCTCCTCTTGGGGGGAATGGCTTGTCCTCCATGCAGATCGACACCTCCATTTTTATGAACGGGACGGTGAGCAACGGGGGCCCTCTGAACCAGGACCGCTTCCCCACAGACTTGGACCTGGACATGTTTAACGGGACCTTAGAGTGCGACATGGACTCCATCATCAGGAGCGAGCTGATGGACGCAGACGGACTGGACTTTAACTTTGACTCTTTGGTCAACTTCACCAGCGCCAAGCAGACGTCTCAGAGCTGGGTCCCTGGCTGAACACAGCAAACGCAGCAGGTGGGTGCTCACATTAGATAGAGCTTCATCCACCCATGTTGCATGATGGATGGATGGACAAAAATATGTAAAGAAATTATTATATTAAAGGAGAACCACTTTTATACTTTCGGCCCCAACCAGCTCAAAATGAGTTTGACACCCCTGACATACATTATACAGATGATGAGAGTTATAGTTATGTTTTTTTTTTTTTTTTTGTTTTTTGCAGGTCTGAACTTTGTGGGCGATCATTACGACTTTCTTTTTGCCAAACCTGCCATCAGCACAAACACAAGAACCCTGTTTACAGACTCTCAATGCTGACGACAGCCCTCCAAACTCCTGTGAAACTTCAAACTGACAATGACAGAGTTATGCAATTGTTTGTTTTGTTGGAATCCAAGGCGTTTCAGGTGGAAATGAAGAGGAGAGACCTTACAGTTGTTCCTAATGAAGATACAAGTTTAATATCAAGACGTGTTGGACTAAATGAGAATCTCCCTCTGTTTTTGTCCTTGTGATTTTAAATGTTCAGTGTTTTGACAGTTGTTTATTATTTTTTTTTGCAATCTTACCTATCCATTAAAATTGAAAACTAAATAATTGTTTTAAAAGTTGGCCCATATGTTGAATGCACATATACAATCTATATACACAATATGAAAAGAGCTTTAGGATGTAAACTGCACTTCAAATTTAGCGCTTATTAACCATTTTAAGGGTAGAACTATATGTTTTAAACCTTTTTTTTGTTGGGGGGGGAATTAACTGTAAACATGTCCAAAATACTGGATTAATATGAATGCATATTTGTACAGAGCAAATCAGGAAGGAAAAAGTTTCTTTGTTTCATGAGATGTATCATTACAGCGTATGATGTAGCCAAAATATATAGCTGTGTTTTTGGGTTTGTGAACATTTCTGCAACAGGTGCTACTATGTATACAGTGTTGACTCCTATCCTAAAGCGAAAAAAGCGTTTTAAATCAGTTTATCTTCAGCCCAGGCGTCACCGCTGCAGCAGCCAGATGCAGAGGTCAAGGGCACAAGGATTCTTTGGCTCATTCCTTAAGAAGCCATGTTTCTCAAGTTCATAATATGTCAATAAGCTACTACTATGTCTCTGTATATTGCCAAATTACTTGAAAATGAACAGTAGGATCTACTGGTAGCCAAATCACATTTATACAAACATGCACACATACTGACTTGACTTCCTTGTGTTACTAAAATTCTCTGAAGGATATTCCCTTAAAATCTGATGTTGAGATATGAGTGAATTCAACTAGTTCAGCCCAATCCTTTTTTGGTTGTTATACAGTCAGTGAATATATCTGCATTAATATAGTGTCTGTTATAAATACAGAAATCTAAATCATCACCAACAGAGGTTTTGGCTTTCTCTATTCAGGATTCAAGTTGGAACTGACGCAACCCCAAAATCAACATCTATTCAGACACAAATGGATTATTATAAAAGCAGCTGGTTCAAGAAGATTTTCCGATCTGAAATGACGTGAAAACACAAGGAGATCAAAGGCACTTATTGAACACACACACTCACACCGCGTACCAGGGATCTGTGTTATGCTCTGTTATTTTTACATATTGTGGGGCCTGTTATGCATTACAAATACTCAGGGGGGTTGAATCAAATAGTGGTTTTTGTCACAGAAAGAAACGCTGTGGCTTGTAACCTTGTAAACCTGTGAACACAACAAAGAGAGAGGACGTTTAATTTCCTGACAATGATTTTACCTCCTTTCTATATATTTAGTTTCTCTTTGACAAAAAATCCCATTCATTTCCCTCCACGACGCATAAGGCATGTTTTGCCTGTATGCACGTATGTATTTATGCATTATGATTTGTGTAAAAAATGCATATACTTGCTTGCTGTTTCGTCCTTATAAAATCTGTATTGTACTTGACCTGTTTTGTTGTATCTCTGAAGGGATGGGTGAAGAGTTGCGTTACACCTGTATTGTAGGAGGGAACACTGTTACTACCTGCCTTGTGGAAAAAGAAAAAAAAATACCTGGGGAGGGGGGGTTTTGAATCCTGCCAATGTTGTAGCATCTGGAGACCCTCGCGCCAAGGAGGGTCCACCCTTGTTGTGTATAATATTGTACAGATGTGTGCATAGTACTTTGAAAGCAGGTGTATACAGGGGAATGCATGGTTAGCCCAAAAATGCTACCGTGCATTAAAGGTTTAGTGCATGATACAAGATTTGCCATAGCGCCGTCCCTTTAAGGTGAATGTCAGTTACTTTTCAAAATGTGGAGAGGGAGAGAAAATTTTGAAGAGAAGCCAGTTAGACCCGCCCATTCTCAACCTCGCAGCTTCCTGATTGGATGAAGTGAATTCAAATAATTACTATTGCTTGACCTATTGTCCTCCTGCAAATTTTACTGGTCTCTTTTTTTTCTCTATTTTAATTGCATTACTTTAGATAAAATAAAAAGTATGTATGAGGATTTTCCCAAATTTTTGGAAAGAACTTTGTGGTATTGTTTGTCGAGATTTTCTATCAATCTATTCTTTATTGCAACCAACTCAACTCGTTTGGCTCTAGCTCCAGCTCCGCTCTGATCCCCAGCCGCTGATTGTTCAGAACGCTGCCGAGCCCCGTTGTGCACATGCATGAGAGCCACAATAGCGTATTTGGCGCAAAGCATCATGGGAGCTCGTTCACTGCGCAGAACTGGGAGGACCAAATATGGGCGAGTTCGGCTAATATTTCGGCGCCCATGTATGTCTCATGCGCTACTGAGCACAAGCCATTGATTTGAATAGGCCGCCATCTTGGATCACCGGGGCTTGGGTTCTATGGTTAATAAGCAATATTTTGAAAATGAAAAATAATTGTTGCTGACATCACCTTTAAAGTTTCAGGAAACTTCTTTTTTTTTTCTTTTTTTCAATGAATACTCTCCAATATCAGGAGGAAAGCTAAAAAGTAAAAAAAAAAAAATCCCCTTTGATGTTGTACTGACTTATCAAAATGCACAAATCTCTTCATAAAGAATTGGGTGAGAGATGGCTGTAACAAAACATGCCAGTTCTCATTATGCGATCCACCACTTTCATGTTAGAGGGACTGTTGTCTTTTTTCAATGGGACTTCAACCACAGGTCGATCTCTGTTTTAACAAGTGTAAAATGTCGAATAGATGTATTACACATTCACACCACAGCTGTTTTGTACTGGCACAATTTCACACAAATCGAACCATATGCAAAGCTATGTAAAGCAAAAACAAAAAACTATAAAAAAAACAAACTGACAAGGCATACCACTAATCACTTCCTTTTGTCAACGTCTTGTAAAAAGAAATCCCAAGGCCAGCTTTAACTTCGTCCTTTGCCCTTCAAACTTTACACTATGATTAATATCGCTTCTTCTCGACTTGATGTTAGTGGGTATTTCTCCTGTGTATTCCATTTGAATTGTAATCTAGTTTGTATAAGAAATGGTGCGCATGTAAATAAAGCTTGGTGAGGCTCCATACATGTCATTGTACTGTCTTTATTACCTAATGGTCTGTGTCTGGAATCAGTTTATGGATCTACATATAGACCAGGGGGGGCCAAACCTTAAAGTAAGAGGGTCACTCTAGTTATCCAGACTTGTCCAGGGGCAGACAACACGGATTTTTAAACTGTTTTGACTGGATTTGTTCTGTTCTGATTTTTGAAATGGGGTTTGTCCATTAGGGTTGGGTGTTGTATTTGGGCCACAATTCAATATTATGGCGATACTTAACATATTGCGATACACCAAGTATTCCGATTCAATTCTGCGATATATTGCGATTCATGTCCCTCATATTATTTAAAGGCATTACAAAAATTTGAGGAAAATAAGACTCACATTTATTATGGTCTGCACAATGTCTGGAGTGCAAAAAACTAAGGAGGAAAAATATCACAATTCTGAACAGAATGGATTTTTTCCCCCACCGTTCATATTGATTCACACTACAGCTACATTAGCGCCAAATATGTCAGTATACTGTGTACAAATAAGGTTAAATGGAATCCAAATGTTCTGAGCTTTACAATAGGCTATATTACCAATTGGGTTTACATAATTCACCCATGGTACTAGGGATGCCCTCATAGTTCCAGGGGACAGTTTATACATGGGGGCATTTCCTGGTTTTTAATTGTTGCGTGATGTAAGCATTGAGTCGTTCAGGGCTTTGTTATGTGTTTCATACTAACTGTTAAATGGCATTAAAACGGTTGCATTTGTCACCGCTACTTGACTCCGACTCCACTCCTTACACAGCAGTAGACTATATTGGTGGAGATTAAGTTGGCTAGATGACACAGCAAGTTTGCCTTTAAATAAAAGCAAGAAGAGGGCCTCAATTGACTCGCAATTTGGACATGTCTGGTGCATCTTTGGGTGTCATAAAAGTACTATGCGATATCATTACATATCAAGACTTCCTCACAATAAAAATAGACAAGCATTTAAACAGGTGGGTGGGTGATGTCATAACAAATTTATTGAACCAGCATGATTTATTCCTGGCATAAAAACAGCAGTAACATGCATAATGTATGAGCATATGTGTTGTTTGTGTGAGTTGTGAAATCCTATGGTCTGAGGACTTGCTGCTATGAAAGGAATTCCTCTGCCCCAGCTCTACACATGCTGTCAATTCACAGCTCACGCTAACCCTAGTTTTTCCACTCTGCCTGCAAGAGATAAATCTTGTCAGGCTTAAAGTGACCGAAACAGTAAAACAACACAGTGTTCTTCTCAAGTTCCTAGAAATTCCCCTTGCACAATATTTGTTATGTGGATGACTGCATTAAATGAAAGCAGACTTACAAGCAAGCCTCTGATACTTGACACCAGCCGGAGTATTTCTCACTGCTCGTTATGAAACATTAGGGTGGAAATGTACCATACAGAGACAGACCAGTGTGCTCGGGTCACTGTAAAACTAGAAGTAAAGTTCCATTAGTAAACATGGAACAACAGCAGCTCATAACTCCATCTCCAGGCCAAACGCAGTAAGTGTTGCACCTATTTCAGGGAATTTATTCAGTTTTCCAGATGGGCGGTGTAGTTTTCAGATAGGAAAAAATGTACTGCTAGTAAAATACTATTTTGACATTTGAAAGTTATCTCTGAATTAACATAGACCTAGTGTCATGCGGTGAAATAAAAAATAAAAAGGAACCCAAAAAGCAGGACTGAAAATGTAGTCTAATT